GCCAGATGATGACTCTAAGGTAGCTAAGCCCGTCTCTGACTCTGACTCTGACGAATCTGGGCCTGATGATGACTCTGAGGTAGCTAAGCCCTTCTCTGACTCTGACTCTGACTCTGACGAATCCGGGCCTGATGATGAGCCTAAGACAGCTAAGCCCATCTCTGAATCTGACTCTGACGAATCCGGGCCAGATGATGAGCCTAAGATAGCTAAGCCCATCACTGACTCTGACGAATCCGGGCCAGATGATGAGCCTAAGATAGCTAAGCCCGTCACTGACTCTGACTCTGACGAATCCGGGCCAGATGATGACCCTAAGATAGCTAAGCCCGTCTCTGACTCTGACGAATCTGGGCCTGATGATGACTCTATGGTAGCTAAGCCCATCTCTGACTCTGACTCTGACGAATCTGGGCCTGATGATGACTCTAAGGTAGCTAAGCCCATCTCCGACTCTGAAGAATCTGGGCCTGATGATGACCCTAAGATAGCTAAGCCCGTCTCTGACGAATCCGAGCCTGATGATGACCCTAAGATAGCTAAGCCCGTCACTGAATCTGACTCTGACTCTGACGAATCCGAGCCTGATGATGACTCTAAGGTAGCTAAGCCCGTCACTGAATCTGACTCTGACGAGTCTGGGCGTGATGACGACTCTAAGATTGCTAAGCCCGTCACTGACTCTAAAGACTCCCACTCGGGCGCTGATACTAGTACTGACTCTAATGACTCGGGTGTTGATACTAGTACTGGCTCTGAGGTACTTACAGAGAAAGATGATAGCATGGATGATAAGGGCCCGTATGAGGGGGTGTCGCTGGCAACCGGGCAGAAGGAGGGAGATGATATAGGGGAAAAGGATCCAAAGGAATCAGGAGAGGATGTGATGGAGGGAGATGATACCTCAGAGGAGAAAGACTCGGAGGGGGGAGGAATCAAAGAAAATGAAGCCACGATGGATGAAACAGACGAAAAGAAGAGTGACGGAGCCATTAAGCCTGACGCTAATAATAGTGAAAATGAGCCCAAGAAAGATGACAGCCCTGACCCGTTGGACCCTTCCAACACAGACAAGGATGAGGGGAACCCGGAGCACTCTCACCCAGACACGCAAGGTAAATCTAAACCATGGTCAGAGTTCCTAGAGAAGCATGCACACAGAGTACATACACTTTATTTCAAACAATTGGAAAGGTAATAATGATCCAACTCTGATTAAGGCAAATAATTGGTATGAAATGAAGAGTTTAGGGATATAGCTATAGATCTCAACAGTTTCAATTAATTTGAAATGAGGTTGTGATACACTCATCCTCCGAATGTGATGGACATCAGGCTAGTAGTTTTCCTGCAAACAAAGAGACAGCAAATGTTTCAAATTAAAGAAAGATATAAATAAGAGTTAAATTAGTTCAGAGGTAAAGATGAGAATTCAGAAATTAATTCGGTAAGAATCGGGAAGAATTAACAGAAGACATGAAGTCATGACTGATGTAAACAGACCTGTGGTGTTGCAGGAGTACATTTTGATGTTACCTCTAATGTTGTTTTGTTTTTTGTAGGACCATCTGCTGACCAGCAACTGGTCCAACCTGTGGACTCCACCACCACCGCTGGTAAATGTCCCAGCACTGATCATGTCCTGTCCCCCTATATTTAAACATGTCCCAAATCAGACAAAAGAGAGCATGCAATTATCAAAGCTCCCTGAAAGGTGAACTGCTGCTAAGCAAATGAAGATATTTGCCCAATGTTAAATTAAGTAATGTGCAGGCACGAGTCTCAATGCAGAAACAGTCAAATTCACAAAGATCAGCAGCACAATTACTTATTTTTTGACTCACCGTCAGAATCAGCAGAGAGGTGTGCATTTCATTCATTATTTCATCAACCAGACGTAAATCTCTGTCTTCTTCTTTACGCAGGGATTTAGACGCTCCAACTGTGGACTGTGAATGCTCACCATCTGCAGGTAACACTGTCAAAACTGAAGACACATACATGTTATACACACTGTGGGTGAACAGGGCAAACAACGTACCTGAGTCAATATCACCATACGGTGCATTTGAGACTTCCCCATTTCCAAAAAAAAAAGTTGAGATTTTCCATCGAACTTCATATTCATTGAGTATATGTTTTTGCTGTTAGAAATGGATGTTGGTCAAGCTCCCACACTTTTTATAAATTAATTACATGCAAACAGCAAAATGTATCCACCCTGTCATGGACAAATTCAAAGTAGAGTAAATACATTGTAATTACATAGTGATTATAAAATGTACATTTTCAGAAAGCTATAGTCACTTTCTCAACAATATATTTCAGTTAATGGAAAAAGTATTTGGATAATATTGAAATGATGGCAAACTATTTGTACCATGTCCACCCTGTCAGGAAGGCTTGCTGACAGGGTGG